CTGTTATCTGAGAAATTATTTCTGATTTCATTTTTTCCAGATCCCCTTTTGTTGCCAGTTCAGTGGTTCCAGGTGGTTGAGTAGCAGAGTTTTCCTTCTCATTTCCCTTTGGGGTTGCTGTAGGTGATCTGGAAGTCTGGTTTTGAGACTTATTTATGTGTTTTTTCATTTCGACTGGAAGGGGGTGCTTTTGGCCCCTGCACAGATTACCTCTTCTGAGCTGGGTGAGGTGGGACAGGGGTGGGGAGCAGCGGTAGGGATGGTGGCTCAAAAGCCCTTTCCTGTGGGCTGGGAGCAGCGGGAGGGATGGTGGCCAGGAACACCCTTCTTCTGGTCCAGGAGAAGTGGGATGCCGGCTCAGAAGCCCCTCCCTCTGGGCAGGGAGCAGTGGGAGGGATGGTGGCCTGGAAGCCCCTCCCTCTGGGCCAGGAGCGGCGGGACAGCAGGTGGCCCAAAAGCCCTTTCCTCTGGGCTGGGAGCAGCGGGAGGGATGTTGGCCTAAAAGCCCCTTCCTCTGGACCAGGAGCAGTGGGAAGACGGCTCAGAAGCCCCTACCTCTGGGCCGTGAGCAGGGGGACCCAGTACTGTGGTCTGTTGGTCTGGTGTCCTCTGCGTCTTTGTAGTGTGGAACCAGGTGACTGTACAGAGGAGCGAGGTGGGGTGTCCAGTGGATTGTTGCTGGGGCGAGGTCTGATTCGGTGTGTTCCGCATAACTGGGGACCTCAGTCGGGCGTGTGCAGTCCTGCCTGTCTGCAGAGGGCTGATTCGGCCTGTTCCGCGGGACAGGGGTCCTCAGTAGTGCATGCATGCGCAGACCTGCCTGTCTGCAGTGGACTGATTTGGCATCTTCCAAGCGACTCGGGACCTAGGTAGGGCGTGCCATCCTTCATTCTTAAAAATTTTCTCGTACTGCTTTGTATTCCTTTTCTTCCACCCCTTCTCACTCTCTCATCTCCATTCCCGAGAAACCACTTGTCTGTTTTATGCCAGTAATAGATTAATTTAAATAGCATTAAAATTATTTTCTCTGTTATATAGTAATGTAGTTAATCTTTGAATATTGATCTTGAATCCAGTTATCTTGTTACATTTTCTGGTGTATTCTAATGCCCACAAATTCCCTCGAGTTAACTATTATGGGTGCTTTCTTCCTTTTTTCTTTTTCTTTTTTTGGTCTTTTTGTCTAGCAGAATATTGAATAGAAACAGTACTTTGTATTCTAACATTTGTCTTATTGATGATTTTAAAAAGTGGTATCTTGCCAGGTGTGGTAGCACACGCCTGTAATCTCAGTAATTAGAAGGCTGAGGTAGGAGATTGTAGTGAATTCCAGGTCAGTCTGGGTTACATAGTGAGTTCAAGGCCACCCTGCACTACATAGGGAGACCCTGTCTCCAAAAAACATAAAAATAAATAAAAAGATAAAATATATAAAGTGATATCATCATTAATACAGATATTTCCTGAGATGTTCAATAAATATCCTAAGTTAACCTAAGTGAGTTACTTATATACTTTGTTTGCTAAAAGATTTTATTATCAGTGATGAATAGGTGGTGAATGTTGTCCACTGTTTTTTCTGCAATTGTGGGGATGACCATGTAGTTTACTCCTTTAATTGGTTAATGGGACTACTAGTTAGTAATGTTAAACCAGCTTTCTGTAGGGTCAGACCGAGGCACGAATGAGACCACCGAGCCAGGCAAAGTCTAAGCAACATGGCGAAGAGTTTATTGCCATCTAGGTGCAGATGGATCAAGGGCGAGAAGGCTGTTGGCACTGAGAGGAGGGTGCTCACGGTTGATATATGGCATTTTAGGTAAGGGAGCGGCACTGCTCAAGAGGGTGGAAAATTTTAGAGTCCCATGGTTGATGGGCCTGGAGCTGGCTGGTAAACAGGGAGGTGGTGAGAGCAGCCGGGTGGCTGCTAGCTTCTTGTCTCTGCTCTCTTGTGGATGTGGGTAGTGGGTCTGCTTGGGTGCGGGTCTAACTTGGGGGACCTGTCACTTTCCTTATCTTAAGTAAATTCAGCTGGGTGTTAGTGTAGTTTTTGTGTTGCTGGGTTCTGATGCACATTTTAGGATAAGTCTTCATGACTGATATTGCCAGTCATTTTTCATTCTGTTACTATTCTGCTCTGGTTTTGTTTATATTGGCCTCATAGACTAGGTTACTGTGTTTTCTTCATTTTTTTCTTTTTGGTACTGGGGATCGAACTTGGGACCTTGCACTTTCGAGGCAGGCGTCTTCATCTTATGTTTGGTGAATGTTTGCACAAATTAGGAATGATTTGTTTTGTTTTGTTTTGTTTTGTTTTGTTTTTTTGGTACCAGTGATTGCGAACTCAAGACCTTGTGCTTGTGAGGCAGGCGTCGCGCCACTGAGCTAAATCCCTGGCCCTTATGATTTATGTTTTTAAACTTTGGTAAAACTCACTTGTAAAACCATATGGATCTGATTTTTTTTTTTTTAAAACTCATTAAATTCCCTAAATGGTATAAGTATGTTTAGGCTTCTCCCTCTTTGATTTAGCGCTGGTAAAACATCTTTTCTAAGAATTTGCTACAAAATTATTTATAATCTCTTCAATCTCTAGTGAATTAACTGTGGTCTCCTTTTTGTTTAAGTATCTACTTTTCCTTGCTAGAATTGTTACCAAAAATATTATCGTATTCTCCATGCCCCAGGAACCACCCCCACCACCAAAAAGGGATCTTAGCCAGAGAGGAAACCAAAGTTGAGTTTATTTAATGGCCAAAGAATGGAGAAGTAGTATCTTAGCTCATAAATCAACCTCATAACTCAAGAGTTGACAGGTTATAGACACAGATTAGCAGAAATGAAGGGAAACAGTAGGTTAAGGAGAAGAATATTCATGTCTTTTCCTAGAATGGGTGGACATTTCTTGGAACTCAGGTGCCACCTCTTTTTCTTCCTTTTATGGTTTGATGATTGTTGTTAAGGTAGCTGGTGGGCATGTCATTTAGCATGGAAATTAGAGTGTAATGAAGTTAGAGGTTGAGTGACAGTTACTCTGGCAGCCATTTTAGATCCAATGGGTTTTGGCTAACCTACCTGAAGAATTTTTGACCTTCAGACATCTGCCCCAAAAGGTAAACAAGATTAGTGTGGGGTAGAAACTCAGGCAGTATACTGGGTCAGATAACTTGACAGAGGATTTATTAGCTTTATTAGTCTTTTCAAGGAACCAGTGTTTTGTTAATGTTCTCTATTGGATGTCTGGTTTTCATTTTAATAGTTGCTGGTTTTTATCATTACCATCATTCTACTTCGGGTACATTCAGTTTTTGGCTCTGATCCCCTCCTTACCAAGTTCTTAGGATCTATAATAAGCAAATTAATTTTCTGCCATCTTTTCCAATATAAGTATTTTAAAAATGTAAATTTCTCTGTATATATCTAGTACTTTTATTTCATTCCACAAATTTTGATATTTAATATTTTTAAAATTGTTTAGTTCTAGGAATTTTTAGAGCATGAGTTCTTTTTTAATCTGTAAGATATTTATTTAGAAGTCTACAGTTTAAAAGTGTCATTTAAAAGAATGTTACTTATTTTCTAAATATACATGGATTTTAAATTGATTTTTTTTTGGTACTAGGGTTCGAACTTGGGACCTTGCGCTTTCAAGGCAGATGGTGGAACCACTGAGCTAAATCCCCGGCCCTTAAATTGATTTTTTATTATTGATTTCTAATTTAATTGCAGCTTGGTCTGAGAACATAGTCTGTGATAAGCCTTTTTGAAATCTTTTTGTGTTCTGTGTGACATGATTTGTGGTCATTTTTGTAAAGGAAGTGTGGAATTTGGTCATTTGACTAACATTTGGCTTTTTCCACCATGTGAGGGATTTACTGAGAGTGGAAATTTGATTATTTTGACTATTACTGCATTACTGGGACTTGAAAGTTCTCGTGTAGAATTTTATATCAAGTTACTCAGTTTCACGTTAAATTTTTAAAAACTTACATAACAAGCTTGAAGACCTCTTTTTAAACACAGCTTTAATTCAGAGTAATGAAAAAGTCCCTTAAGGAAAATTTCTCCTTAGAGGGAAGTAAGAACCTCAGTGTTTTATTGTGAAATATAGAATAAAAAAATAGTCTGTACTGTTTAAACAAGAAGAAGAGAATTTTACTGTGGTGGGAATATCTAATGAAGATAAAATTCCTCTTTTGTTTTCTTCAAAGCTTAAATTGGTTGGTCAGATGCAGGAACCTAGTTATTTTAAATAAGAGGAACATACATGGGGAAAGAGGCAAATCTGTATAGCCTCACTGATCCCAGGTATAGTCAGTCAGTGAAATGTGTCAGTGGTTCCACTCTCTGACTTGTTTTTGCCTCTCTTTGCTTGTTTTCATAGGTAGAAGAAGTGAAAAAGCACCAGCACTGTTTATCCTTTAGCTCCTCCGGACCCCAAAGTCAGACTTACTACATTTGCTTTGATACTTTCACAGAGTATTTAAGGTGGCTACGGCAAGTTTCCAAGGTAAGCACTTACCCAGTAATCTGTTCGGTTTCTAGCTGGCTGCAAGATTGCCTCTTGCTTTACCAATTTCAAAATGCTATAGTTGTGTACACGTTTCTTTTTTCCAGATATTACCAGTGGTTAGCAGTTTTAAAAAGATAATTCTCACTGGAAAATAGCTTTTTAAATATGGTTTTATATTTTCCACTTTTTGTTTAAACTTAAAATTCAGTCTGGCATCACTATTTTAGTGTTCTAGAGTGAAAAATTGAGATTAAAAATTTTTAAGGGACTGGCTCAGGGCAGGACAATTACAAAACCACAGAATACCCAGAGAATTGTTAAAAATTTTCCATTTTCTTCTGACTGTATTTTCATATAAACATTCTAATCCTGTGCCATCTTTTACCTTTATTCTGATTTTTAAGTGGTTTATTTTTTTTCATCTTATTTTGACCATTTTGTAGTCCCGATTACATGAAATCATCATGTCACATGAGGTAATATATCTTCGGGTGTGTGTAGTAGATACTAGAATATCATTATAAATAAGATAAATAAGTGCTGATTTTTCAGGTACCTTGTGAGAAGATGTTTTTATATCTTATTTGTTGTTATGTGTGAAGTGATGGAGTGGATTCCAGTATTTAATGCCTTGGTTTTGGGCATATTTTTGAAATGATATGATCTCTCTAGAGTGCAGGAACAGCACAACATAATTCACTTTTGTATTTTTGAATTTACAATTAAAAGTTGTTATCCAAGTTTAGTGTGATTCATACTGCTTTGTGATGTAATTGTCCAGTGATTGAATAAAAGAATAATTTTGTAAAACAGTCAACAGAAGACTAGAGAATAATGGCTAGAAAGTCTTCTTGCAATACTGGCTACATTTAAATTATTAGGCTATAAACTGTTCTCTGATGATGTGATGTTATTTAGGAACATTAATTTCTCCTTCTTCTAGAGAAGAGACAGTGGACAGGGTTTCGGATGCTAGTCTTGAGATTCTTTTAACCTAAGAGGCAGATGGATGCTCTAATGCAGTGATTGTGAACCTTTTAGAGACCAGGTGCCCATACTGCAACCCTAAACCCGCTTATTTATCCAAAAGTGCCAACACTGCAATTAAACCTGAATGCTTGGCTGTGGGGATGACTTGGCTCACTTACCGACAGAGAGGGCTCTGTATGCCCATTGCATGCAGCATGTGTGCCATAGGTTTGGCACTACTGCTCTAATGTATAGGGAAGCACCCATACAGGTGAAAAAGGAAAGACTAGACTTTTTCCTCAGTCTTGCATGTGGAATTAATGTAATATAAGAGAAGATATATCTGTTTAGTTTTGAAATTACTCCTGTGGCTGCAAATAATGACGATATAAATATTAAATAATGTGCTTGTATATTTAAGTGATTTGCTTTTGTGTGTATTTATGTTCATATTTAATTGGTTGTATGGGTTCTAAGCAGTAAATCCATTGTTGACACTGTGCTTTATTCAGAATAAAGTGCCAAAACATTGTCAGAGTGCAGCAGATTTCTTGCTATACAAAGATACTGATTTTTAAGTAAAATTGTATTTATCTTGGAATGATTTTATATTTACACAAAAGTTACAAAGAGTACAGAGTTGCCATACACATTTCATTCAGTTTCACAAACATTACCACGATAAGTTTTTCAAAATTAAGAAACCCAACATTACTAGTACATCACACTAACCTTCAGACTTCATTTGCATGTCAGTAGTTGTTCCATAGTTACTGTGTGCTGCAGGATGTCACCTAAGGTACATTTGGTCATATCTTCCTTATCCCCTGTGGACTGTATCAGTTTTTCGATCTAATTTTCATGACCTTGACAGTTTTCAGAAATATTGGTGAGGAATTTTATAGAATGTCCTATATGGAAATCGGGGTAATGCATTTTAAACCAGCTCCACTTTTTTTTTTTTTTGGAAGGTACTGGGAATTGCACCCAGGGTCTTCTGCGTCCTAGGAAAGCACTCTACCCTTGAGCTGTGTAGCCTCAGATACATCCAGGGATTTAGCTCAGTGGTGCCTGCCTCGCAAGCGCAAGGTTCCAAGTTCGAACACCGGTAGTCTCCCCCCCCCCCCGCCAAAAAAAATCAGAGATATAAATTCTTAAATGTAAATTATGAAGCATACCATAGGAGATTATTTTGATTGAAACAGTAATAACACAAAGATTAATAGTTTATGTTAATTGGTAAGTTACTATTTCAAATCTAGTAGGCATTTACTAAACACCACTATTTGTCAAGTTTGTGTTTTATGCACTAGGGATATAACAAAGAACAAGTCCAATTCCCCATTCTTGGTAGGGCTTATACTGGGGGAGAGAGATTATAAATAAGTAAAAAGACAAGAAAGAACATAGGATAGCAGTTAATCATACTGTATATTACAAGGTTTATATGGCAGAATAATGCAGGAAGGATAACATCAAGGAGATGCCATTTAAACTGAAACATCAATGAAAGAAGTGTGTGATTATTTGATAGATCTGATGGGAAGAACTTTCCAGACAGAGGGTAAAGATGATGTGAAGGCCTTAAAACTGCAGTGAGATTGTGTTGTAGGTTTGGAAGTAAGATAGGTAGAGTTCTTGTGTTATGCAAGAGGTAAAAAGTGTGAATTTTATTTAATATAATGACAAACCATTAAAGAGCTTTCTTGTGGAAAGTTACATGATCTGATATGTGGTAACTAGATTGGAAAGTACACAAACAAAAGCAGAAAGACCTGCTACAAGGCTTTTGTGGTTAGTCTCGGCAGGAGGTGAGCCTGGCTTTGCAGTGGAAGTAGAGAGACATGCATAGTTGTTTTGAAATGTGCTTTGGAAACTGACAGGTTCACTGATAAATTAATTGCAAATAAGATGTGAGGAAAAGGAAGAGATAAAGAAAGGCTTTTTCAGGCTTTACTTTGAATTACTGGGTAGAGTGTAGCCTCAGTCAGAAACTGTAGCACTATACTTTGTGTATTTGTGCCTGTAAAGGGATAGCAGAATACAATTTTAGTCTTGAGAGAGCTTCTCTTCCAGGAGGGCATAAAGACAAACTACAAGAGGCAGACTATCTCTTAAGTTGGCCCTGAAAATGTTGATTTCTGACTTGGAGGTGATTGTAAATGTCAAATGTTAGCTTGGTTAGTATTCTTTCCTATTCCTTGTTAGCTAATATGCCATCTCTGTGGTCCAGTACTATAGTGTATCTATAATAAACTTCTCATGCTGATTACTTGAATCATGAACACATTTAGACATCACACCTCTTCAGTAGGAGATGGTGGGAGATAGTGGGAAAACTATTGCATGGGAGACATGATGATGGCAGGATGGGGGCAGTGGTGTTTCTGCTATTGTACTTTCCCTTTCCAGTGATTATTGTATCTCCGTTGGAGAGTTTTTAGTATCTAGGTGTTGAGGTGTAATGCAGTTATATGTAGATGATTCACATCCGTAGACATACACAACAACGTGCACATATATAGCATTCATTCTATACTTACAAGTGCAAGTGTTTCTAGGAGCGAGGAGGGATTTTGATTTAGTTGCCTTAGATTATTGTTAACTAAAATGGAATGAGAGCTAAATTGGAATGAGAATTTTAGCCTCTCTTTAGAAAGGCTTGAAGTGTTCAGAGAAGCTTCTCAAACTTCTTTAACTCTTTACGGATGTGAATAAAGAAATAATTTTGACTGTTATTCTTGGCCATCATCATTTATTGATCAGACAACTTTTTAAAGTAGTATCTGTTTATATGGTTATTTTCAGTAGATAAGGACACACATGTATTTAGTTTATCTGAGCAAGGCACCTTCTGCTGCTCTTAACAACCACAGCAATCTTTTAGGGAAAGTAATAGCTTTTCTCCAGAAAAGACAGGGATGAGGACCAGAAGACAAAACATTTTAGTAAATACAGATTTTAAATATGCCTTTCCTTTCTCCAATCTTAAAAATCAGTTATATATTTCAAAAGTTTTTAGAAGGGGTAGAGGTATAGCTTAGTGGTAGAGCACTTGCCCAACATGTGTCAGGTCAGGGTTGCCATCCCCAAAACTGCAAAATAAAATAAAAAGTTGTGGTAATTTATGAATTAAAGAGCAAATGAGCTGTACAGGGCTGACTAAAGATACCAGATACTGTAGAAAAAATGAGTGAAGGAATTTGGTAGGAATTCTGTATAAAAATACGGGCACACATCACTTTAAATTTAGGATGTTGAGGGTGATCTTAAGAAAATATCTTTTCCAGAAACAGTCAATTGGGGCTGCTGAACAGAAAGGGAAAGTCTTGGTCTGTTGGGGAGGTATAAGCTTATAGGAAGTGCAAAGTAAATACAGCTGATTATTATAAGTCCCTTCTTCTTTTAGTCTCCTCTTCCAGTTGTCACTTATCCTTATATATAGGTACTTAGGAAGTTATATAATTTAATCATATATAAGGTTACTATGGAAACTTTCTTTTCCATATCAAGAAACTATAGATTATCTTTATATTCTGATATTTAAATGAGGATTCATTTTGATAAGGATCTGAAAGAAAAACACATGAAAAACAGAAAAGAAAAATCTGAGTTTCTAATGTTTGTTTGTTTTTGGTACCAGGAATCAAATTGCATCTTGCACTTGCCAGGCTTGTCCAGCGCCACTGAGCTAAAGCCCTGGCCCTGAATTTCTAATTTTTAATGACCATCTGTACTGCAACAATGGAAGCCACAACCAAATTTGAATTATTTGTAGTTAAAACAAGTTAGATTAAATAATTTAAAAGGAAAGTTCTTTGTTTTCAGTATGTGTTTCTGTACATTAGCTAAAAAGAAGTGTTATGCTTTATTTCATTTGGTTTTGGGAAAATTTTTTATAAAAGTTTATCAGTTAGGTATATTCTGCAAAATAGGCTTACTTTTAAGCTGAATCATAGCACTTAATATTGCTTACCAAAATAACACACAGGATAGTCCTTTTCTGTTGGGCATGTTTTAACAGTAGA